GCTGCTGCCGATGTTGTTGCTAATGCCCTTGTTTGCTCTGTCTCAGGGATGGTATACGAATACCAGAAGCCGCCCGGACTGAAGTCAGGGTCAAGGTCCGGAGGGTGTGTCTAGTTGGTGAAGTTAACTATGGCGTCACTGTCGGCGGTGCCAAGATCGGGAACGAAGTCCAAGACGAAGACGTTGTTCTTGAGGACCGCCTTCCCGATGTAGAGACCTCCTCTCCCATGATACAACTTGAACTCCTGGATGGTGCTGTCTGCTTCGAGGTGAATACCTTTCGCCATCAGCTGACTGACACTCAGTAAGTTGTAGCCGAGGCCTTCTGCAATTAAAACCTTTGACATCTGTAGTATGACGTTTGTCTCTCGCGACTGAAGTTGTACGATTCCTTGCCGTCGTGTGCGCAGGTTCTGGTTGTTGGCGACGGTTATGACGACTTCCCGTTGAAGCTGGTATTCTTGTTGTACGAAGCGTCCTGAAGAGCACATGTGCTGTCCGCAACAGCTGTCCAAGAACCACGTGTCTGTCCCTGAAGGCTCGCTTTGGGCGATGGCGGCGTACGTTGGATTTGGTTTGAGTGCTTCGCGGCGAGGTGTGGTGTTATCGAGATGGTCTTCTGGTGAGTAATGTGGCGGTGAATCGGTGATGCAGGATTCGCTCAGTCTTGCCATGCAGCTGATGATGTTTCTTGCTCCTTGTGCAGGTTGTCCCGGTGAAGTTGAGGCTTGGACCTGAGTCGTCGGGTTCGCCTGTGTTGAAGTCACTTGACTGCTTGAAGGTCGTAGTTGCCGCTGCAAGGCAGTTAACTGTTGTCGATTCGGGCAGTGCGTGCGTGGGTGCCCTGATGTCTTGCAGATGTGACAAAACGGAGGTACTGGCTTCGGCTGCTGCTGTCGGTTGTTGTAGTTGTTGTGTCGTCGCTGAGTATGGAAAGCGAATTCTGACGTTGTCGTCTTTCGTTTGTGTCGTTCTTCTTGCAGATCCATGTCCTGCTGCTCGGCGTGTATTTCGGCGCAGAGTGCTGCTTCAGAAATTCTTCTGTGGGCTCGAAGAATTGCTTTGGTGGCGCGCCACTGAGGACCGAGGCCACCGATGATGACTCTTACGAAGGCGTCTTCAGAGATTGATCCTCCGCATCGAAGAAGCTTGTCGCGCAATTCGCGACATCGGCTGATATACGCCAACCCCTTTTCTCCTGGTTTCATTTCAACTGTTGTCAACTGCGCCATTAACCTGCTCTGGTTTACACTGTCTGTTGCTTGATACAGGTTCTTCAGATGGCCATACGCGAGTTCCGCCGAGTTGCCGAAGGTCCGGTAAGAGCGAATGTTCTGCTGCTGAGTTGGTGTGATGTTTCTCACTAGAATAGTATACGCCATCATCGATTGATACGTATACTGCTGCTTCTCATACTGTGTGCCGTTTGCTGGATACTGCAGGGATCCGTCAAAGAAACCGAGTATCTGCGCGCCCTCCATCATTAGCTCGAATTCAAAGGACCGGGTGAAGAAGTCCTTTCCGTCAAAAGGTCTTGATGTTTGCAGTTTCAAGACATGCACGAAGTGCGACTGAACTTGTAATGCGTCCATTGGTTTGTCTTGCGCAGGTGGAGGTTGAGGTAGGAAGCTGATCGACCCGCGCTCGTACGGGGCGAAGGTGGGTTGCTGCTGTTGATTCCCTCGCGCATATGACGACCCATCAAGGCTCATGGGTGTCGCTCCGTTGTTGCTGTTGTGTGTCTGTGCAGGTCCCGACTGCTGGTGTTGCTCGTAGAAGGACATGAAGGAGAAGAATTTCTCCATCATGCTCTGATCAAAGTCAGAAGGATGGTTCGTGGGGGTCTCGGTTGACATTCCCCTTGGTCTTGCTGCCGTGCCTTCCTCTGTCTGCAGGCCAGAGGCTGGCGGTGGAGTAGGAGTAGTGCCCGAGGAGCCATTAGGGGAGCTCCTTTCCTTGTTTGTTGCCATGTCTTGTAATGATCTTGAAAAGGTAGAGTTTCCCCTGTATGCTCTCATAACATGTTGGGCTGAAAAGGCCCTAAGGATCTTTACAGAGGATAACTCTGGGTAGGATACTTTGTAATAGCGGAAGCGTTTAATGAAGCTTTGTGAACCGACCTTCCACTAGTGTGTGAGAGCAAAGTAGATTAAATTATAGTGAAAGGATACAAGCTTATATAATAATACAGGGAATATGAAGAGATACGGTTATAACTACTTTTACTATTGCTGTTGCGGTTCGATACAGTGCGACTCGGGCAACTGCTCTGTAACGAGTCAGTTGTGTGTCCTTAATTGTCGCGCTGTTCTTGTCAGGTCAAGGGTCAGCGACCTTTGACTTTCTCGTAACTTCCTGCAGCCGATTCAACCTCCGAGGGTTGTCTCGCAGGTGCTTCGGTGTAGGTTGCCTCGCTTCTGGTGCAATGTTTTGACTCTTCTTCATAAACCCTGTTCCATGGACCACTGACCATCCCACTTCAATTCCACCCAGAAAATGGGAGGACACAAGAGTGGCCCACGCCCTGACCACGACTTCACTGGACACAGGCCAGAACGAAAACACGACTAAGACACCTTCTCGAAGACCTGACAGCGGACTGAATGGCAGACGGGATGAAAAAGTGAGACCTACAAAAATGGAACACATACACGACTACCATGACGCCAAAGAGACCTCTCGGACACCTGACAACATGGGCTATACGAGTTGACAGACGGGATGAATGTGAGACCTAATTAAAAGGGCACATACTTAACTACGCCCACTGAAGACACCTCCTAGGTCACCCGACAACAGACACGGCCGATACGAGTTGGTCAGACGGGATGAAAATGCGAAACTTGACATTACAATGGATGGGGATGGGGAGAAGACAGGTGTCATGACTACACAACGGACCAGAACTGAACCCTTGCATAACACTCCCCGCTGCATTCGCCGGCTTCTACCAACGAAAACCCTCTACTTTGGACTGGATCCGACCATGCCACTGAGACTCCGACTGCCCCTAATCGGAACTCTTCGACCTCACATCTCTCTTCCCTCGCACAGACACCTGCAGCGAACCTGTTACCTTGCACAGTTCCCCATTACAGTCATTGTCAATCCATGTTCTTGAGGGAGGGGGGATTGCGTGGATGCAAGGAGCATTGAGTGAACGTGATTATAGTAAACAGAAAGACAAAGGATCAATGTACGGACCAGCGCGCGACTAACCTCGCGATCTCCATCTGGCTGCGAAAATGCTTCACTGCCGTAACAAAGACCGTACAGCTAACCAACGCACATTATCCACACGAGGGAGCCCTCCTCCTACTTGGCAAAGACGAAGTAACATCACAACATCACTTGCTTTACTTGATGCTGCACTTGGCACCGGCACCCTCCAGTTGCTTCTTGGCATCCTCCGCATCCTCCTTAGCAACAGCCTCCTTAACCTTCTTAGGAAGACCCTCAATCATGTCCTTGGCCTCCTTCAAGCCAAGGCCGGTGATCGCTCGCACGACCTTGATGACAGCGATACGCGACGACGCGGGGACCTCCTCCAGAAGCAGATCGAACTCGGTCTGCTCCTCAACCACGGCAGCGGCCTCGCCGGCGGCGGGAGCGGCAATGCCGGCGACCGGCATCATGGCAGCGGCGGACACGCCGAGCTCCTCCTGAAGCCTGTCAGTGAGGGTCCTGGCCTGGATGAGGGTGAGGTTCTTAATCTGCGAAACGAGCTCCTCAATATCGGTGGTCGCGGCGGAGGCCACGACGCGACCGGCAGCAGCGCAGGTCTTCCTGACAGGCGCGACCGACACGACGGGGAGGGCGGATCCCCGTCGCAGGGACACGGATGAGAGGCATGGGGAGCTTGTGAGCGCAAGCTTGGTAGCGAGGGCCGCCATTTTCGAGTCTGAGAGTAGGCTACGGGGAGACTACGGACGGCGACCTCGTAAGGGAATTGGAAGCTAAGGGAATGGCGAGCAATAGATGATAGTGAGGGAACGGAGAAACGGAAAATGGCTGCAGCGTGTAGTGGGTGCAGGGGAGGGGGACCCGCAGGCAGCACTCGGAACAGTGCTAAGGCGGAAGTTGAGGTGGATGACGTGGCATATGGATGCCTCAGCGTCAAGGGCGGAGTGCGGGCTGCTTCGTTGCCTGCAGGGGGGAAAGCTGATTGCGGGTGATGTGATGATGGACTGGTGGTATACCACGCATAGATTCTGGTTGAATGTGCAGACGTGGCCTTCGAGGGCTGAGCAAGACACGCTGTAAAGCAGATGAGTGGATGATGGAGGCTGGTGAGTGGTCAGCTCTGGGTCCACGACTGTGAAGTGACTTTATCGAGAAACTATCACAAGGCGAAATTGGTGCGAAATCAGAGCGTTGCAATGTAGTTTGCAATTACGTATTCTGGAAAGTGTTTTCTGTTTCATTTATCTATGTGGTCACAACAATATAAAACAACTGTTACAAATATTTGATAGGTAGAAAATATCCCCACAAGGCTCCAAACGATTCTGTAAAGAAAATAAAAAAATGTGATGTACGATATGCATGCATGCCTAGTAGAATCGAGTAATACGCTAGGAAGAGTCTGATAATTATGATGCCAGGTGAAATAATCCTTCTAACATCGTGTTATTTTTACAAGTAATTCCAAATTTTCTCCTAGCTTCTGGATGGAGAAGTGCCACTAACAGCTCATAAGCTGAGAACTGCATATATGTCCGCTAAATACAGTACCATGCGAGTGTAGCATCTGTACAGAACAGATCTGTACTCGTTATTGCGATCGTGTTGCTCACCTCCCATCTCCACTTCCCCTGCTGTCGGTCGGCCGTCTCATCCGCGTGCAGCATTTCAAACGGATCCGCTCTGCTGCAGGAAAGAAGAACAGCATTTCAAAATGGTGGTCCTGGAAAATGGCATTTGCTGCTTTTCTCATGCGAGCAGCTGGAGGTCTCAACTCGACTCGTAGTTCCCGCAGCTTAGCCCTCGCGTCGAGTCTCATGGAGCTCGCCAGGCGTGGAGGACCCAGTAGCTGCCCTCCGGAATATCATCACCATGATTGCCGCGAGGAGGGGAACGGGCAGGCAGACATTCAGGTAGAGGAGGAAGAGACGACTTTTGAGACGTCTCAAAAGGAGGAGGAAGATTCGTTCATCAGTCCCGAACAAGGGTCGAAGGAGATCGACGATGAAGCGATACTTCACCTGCTGACCGAGAAACAGAGGCCGAATAGCGGTGGTTTTAGCGCTGTTACAGAGCGTTTCGGTTGCACTGCGAGCTTGTCGAAACTCATAAGCCAGGGGAGCAGCATTGCTAACGTATCACACTCTTGTTTGCTCGTTCTTCTCATGACAGTTACAATCTCAATTCTCCTGAGGCAGTTTTTCCTCGGCTCAGGGTCCCCCACATCTATAAATTTCACAGTTTCTGATGAATTCCCTCGTGAGCTACCGTCAGGTTCCTCAAGCTCCTCTCAGGCTCGTGATGAATCTCGTGGCTCGGCTCAGGCGAACACCCGCTCGTTCCGCGAACCTAGAAGCAATCTTGTCCAGAGGCCGTTCTCTTTCAGTGATTCGTTAGAAACGGACCCGTTTGAAGCCGCAATTTTACAACGGGAACAGGAACTTTTGCAGCTCTGGACAGAGCTGCTTCGTCCAGGTTCACCGTACGCAACCCGTGACGCCAGCAGCGACCAGACCAGTACTACTAACTCTCAACCAAGCTCCAGCATTCCCGCGAGTGATAATCCTGACGTTAACGGAACACTGTTTGGAACACTGACAGAAAGCAGCTACACTGTTATCAGCGACGAGGGGAGTCCTGACATGGTGCCAACGAATGCAGCAGCAGCACTGACTCCTTCTGACGGTTCATCAGACCTTCCTCAGGAAACAACGCCATTGCAGCAGCAGCAGCAACAGGAGGAGGAGGTGGAGGAGGAGGAGGAGGAGGTTCCAAGCGGAGAGCCTGTCCCTCCGCTTGGTGAGAGAGGGGAGGGTTCCGTCCTTCCACCTGTCCCTCCTGTCCTTCCGCCTGTCCCTCCGCCAGTTCCCCCGCACCTGATGAACTGCGAGGCGATGATCAAAGCGGTGACCCAATATGAGAGGTTCGCGCGTGGGCGGCATGGGGTGGAGGAGGTCCCGTGGGCTCTGGTTCGCGAGGGGGAACGCGGTGGGTCAATGGAAAAGCATCGAGTTTTGAGAGCACGGGGAATAAGCGGCGGAATATCAACCCGCGGGGTGGAAGAGGTCCCGTGGGCTCTGGTTCGCGAGGGGGAACGCGGTGGGTTCTTCCCGGAGTTTTCCCAAGGGAGGAAGCGGGAGGGTGCGATTCAGGCGGGGCCTGCTGCAAGGAAGGAGGTTGAAGAGGAGCAGAGAGAGGGGGGAGGAAGGGGGAGGAAATTGGGGATAGCAGCGAGGGGAGGGATGGGCAAGGAGAAGGAGAGGAGGGTTGGGAGGCATGGTGGGGAGATTGAGGAGGAGGGGGAAGAGGATGGGGGAAGGGGAGGGGTGGTGGAGGGGAGGGGAGGGGTGGTGGAGGGGAGGGGAGGGGTGGTGGAGGGGAGGGAAGGGGTGGTGGAGGGGAGGGGAGGGGTGGTGGAGGGGAGGGGAGGGGTGGTGGAGGGACCATACCCGCCGTGGGTGGTGGGGGCGGACGAGGAGAACTACCCGCTGACTCGGCGCGTGCAGAGAGACATATGGCTGCACCAGCACCCTGAAAACTGCTCCCTCCCTTCAGTCAAGTGAGGTGCCTGTAGTGCTGCTGCCTATGGGGGTGATTGTAATGGTGCCTATGGGGGTGATTATAAGGGTGTGGCCTATGTGGGTGCTTGTAGGGGTGGGGCATATGGGGGTGCTTGTAAGTGTGCGCGCAGAGGGACATATGGCTGCGTGTAGTGGTGCTGTAACGGTGCCTGTAACAGTGCCTGTAACGGTGCCTGTAACGGTTCCTGTAACAGTGCCTGTGGTGGTGTTTGTACTGGTATATATGGTGCTGCCTGTGATGCCTCCTCCCCCTTTCCATCCCTCACGCCTCCTTTCCTCGCAAGTTCCTCCTAAGCCACCTTCATCCCTTCACTCCAAGTATGGCATTGGCGCGCAGCTCACCAACATGGCAGGGGCGCCTCAGAGAAGAGCAACCCAGCTCTCAACCCTCTCCCATTCCATTTACTCTCTCCCCTCTTCCCTCGTAGGTTCCTCTACGCCACCTTCGTCCCTCAGTCCAAGTATGGCATTGGAGCGCAGCTCACCAACGTGGCAGGGGCGCTGGCGCTGGCGGTGGCGTCGGGGCGGGTGCTGGTGTTGGGGAAGTTCCCGAGGGCGATGCACGGCGGGTGTGAGGGGCGCAAGCATGGCCGCTGGCACTGCTTCTTTGCGCCGGAAACGAGTGACGCATGCAGAAGGTGCGTGTGTGGTGTGGTGTAGTGCGGTGCAGTGCGGTGCAGTGCGGTGTGGTTCTGCGTGGCACTGGCAGTGGCGTCGGGGCGGGTGCTGGTGTTGGGGAAGTTCCCGAGGGCGATGCATGGCGGGTGTGAGGGGCGCAGGCACGGCCGCTGGCACTGCTTCTTTGCCCCTGAAACGAGCGATGCATGCCGAAGGTGTGTGTGTGGTGTGGTGTGGTGTGGTGTGGTGTGGTGTGTTGTGACGTGGTGTGGCGTGGTGTGGTGTGTTGTGGCGTGGTGTGGCGTGGTGTGGTGTGTTGTGGCGTGGTGTGGCGTGGTGTGGTGTGTTGTGGCGTGGTGTGGCGTGGTGTGGTGTGTTGTGGCGTGGTGTGGCGTGGTGTGGTGTGTTGTGGCGTGGTGTGGCGTGGTGTGGTGTGTTGTGGCGTGGTGTGGCGTGGTGTGGTGTGTTGTGGCGTGGTGTGGCGTGGTGTGGTGTGTTGTGGCGTGGTGTGGCGTGGTGTGGTGTGTTGTGGCGTGGTGTGGCGTGGTGTGGTGTGTTGTGGTGTGCAAGCACGGCCGCTGGCACTACTTCTTTGCATCGGAAACGAGCGATGCATGCAGAAGGTGCGTGTTTGCCCTGAATCGATGCTTCACCTCTTCGCTCCCCTCTCAGCCGTTATTCCACAGGCAATCTGTTTCTGAATATGCAGGCGATCTTTTAAATTTTTTGAAAATATGCACCTTCCTTTAGACTATGCTGGTTACTGGTTAATGGTCGAGCAGCAAGCGCAGAAGTGACTTTTGAGTCGAGTCAAAAGTCACCTTCGTACCTATTCCCTTCCCTCCCCTCTTCCCATCCCCCAGACGAGCCCATGACCTGATGGCCGAGCAGCAATTGCAGAATCCTGCCACAGCAGAACCAGCTTCAAACCTTCGGGCAAAATCGAATCTCCCAGTGAAATCAGACGTGCACTCGAGCCTGCCTGTGGTGCGGCGGCAGGATATTCCCGAGGAGCTCGTGTGGTTTCCCCCCGTACCCTCCTTGTGGGGGGAGCCGTGGCTGCGCATCCCTGCTGTGATTGAAATCAACGGGCACATGCGACAAACCACCAAGACTGGGTGAGTGGTGAGGCGTCTCGTGCTCTCAAACCTGACTGTGGTGCGACAACAGGATATTCCCCGTGGGCTTGTGTGGTTCCCATTCCCACCTGTGCCCGCCCTGTGGGGGGAGCCGTGCCTGCACATCCCTGCCCCGTGATTGAAATCAACAGGCACATGGGGCTAACGACCAAGACCGGGTGAGTCACTAATTGCACAATGACGGCAAGAGGACTCTGCAGACTGCTGCTCCCTGGAGATGACACACAGTCTACTCCACACACCCTCGAAGGTTTGTGCTTCTTGCTTGCTTCCATGTGCTTGCACATGCCTCTTGCTTGATTGCTCTGCCCATAGCTATTTGCCTTGCTCTGTTCATCCCTTCCTGCAGCAACAAGGACCGCTGGTGGAGAGCACAGGCGTGGCGCTCATTGCTGCGTCACCCTCGTGCTACCATTGCACAGGATCGTTCATGCCAGTGCTACCCCCGCCCTCTGCCCATGCATTGCTCTTCCCATCCCTCCCTGCAGCAACAAGGACCGCTGGTGGAGGGCGCAGGCGTGGCGCTTCCTCATGCACTCGCCCTCGCGCTACCTCTGTGCCGTCATCAACCGGGCCAGGCACGCAGCCTTCGGGCCAATGGCAGCTCGCCACGTGGCGCACGCAGAAGCCGCGATTCTTCAAGCTGAGAAGCTGATCTTTGCTGCGAGTACTCCCCGTGTTAACCTTTCTGAGACTGAGGTCCAACAGTCCATCTCTGCCAATGCGGGTATTTTCCAGCGTAATCGTTCGCAGAGTGGCGGTTTTAACGGCGTTCTCGTAGGCGCCAGGTCAGCGCCGTGGGTGCCGCGGCCTCTGGTGAGCATGCACGTGCGCATGGGGGACAAGGCAAGGGAGATGCGGGTGGCGGGCTTCGGCACGTACCTGCACCTGCTGTCAAGAGTGCGAAAGTTCGACCCTTCCGCTACAACCGTCTGGCTGAGCACAGAAATGCAGCCGGTAAGGCAACTGGGACATTACCGGCACACGACACGACATCCCATAATGCTGCTCCATCTGCTCTCACTGCTCCCGTTCCATCATCCCATCCCATCCTCCTCTCCTTTCACTGCTGTGTGTTGCCCTTTCCGAAAATGCTCCCTTCAGGTTTTGTTTTGTGGGGATTTTTCTTGGGGGGTACGCTGCGGTCTCACTTTCGTTGACCGAGATTTTGATGATTTTATTGCTGGTTACTGCTGGCAGGTTGTAGAGAGGGCCATTCGTACTCCTGGGTGGGACTGGAAGGTCACCAACGTACCTCGGATGCAAGGAAATGAGAGCATGCCAGCCTTTGAGGCTCGGATCGGGCCCCAGCGCAGCGTTGAGAATGCTTGGGTAAATTTGCTTATGGCAGCAGAGGCTGATTATTTCATAGGTGCTCTTGGTTCGACGTGGTCCATGCTAATTGATGGCTTGCGGTGTACAGGAGGAAAGATGCTCGCTGGTTTTCTAAGCACATCAAGGGACAGGCATTGGTAATGAAAAAAGTTTCCAGTGGAATGCTGGCAATTTATGCTTGCCTATCGGAAAGTACTTCGTTGTACAGAGTTCATTTCAAGTTGAAGTGAGTTTGATCTACAATCGCAGACGGGACGCACAGAGCTCATGTTTTTCTTGGTCTTTTTCCGAACCAGACCTGGCCCAGACTTGAGCCTCGGTCCACAGCACACCTTACGGTGGCGGGAGGCCAGGCTTGGCGCATGACCGAAGTTCGGCGTTGAGCTCTTTAGCCCAGATCAGGTGAACCGAACAGAGCTAGTCTCCGGCCTATCAGTGCATTTTGTCGTGTGGTTCGGCGAGGGCTCCCGCCCCAGGAATCTGGGAATGTGTGCCTGCTGCGCGAGACTGCCCTCGATTTCATCCAGTTTCCCAACCAAAGTCCGAACCAAACCTAGCTTTCGGTTCGCTGCTTTCCGCAGAACACACAGGGATAGAGATTGAAATCTCGAAGTCGTCCTTGGGTCTAGACTCTAGAGTTGAGGAGCTGACACACAACAGAAGCAACCTCCATTTGGCTGAAGCAGCCCCGATTGACATGACGTGACAGAATCAGGAATCGTCTTGCTGTTTTTCAGCACTGCATTGGCTGACCAGACTGGTCATTGACAAGTCGGCTTTTGATCACCTTATAAGCCTGGTCCGCCGGCACGGTAGAGCTCAAACCGCGTCGTCAGCTCCAGCCACCGTAGTCTCATGAGCTCTTTGGTCCACAAGTAAGCAGACAGATGCACTAGATCGATGCTTGACCGATTCTTGCATGACCGCTGCTAACCAAACCAGTTATTTCCCTTGAGGTTCCTAGCATCTGAACTCTTATCAGCTTCCTTAGCTCGACATCAATCATTTGGGGTTCAACTCTACTACTGACAACCTTAGTTTTTACATAATGGAAAGCTGATTCCAGCCCCTTCCGTAGATCAAGAAGCTACAGCTCAGATGGGTATCGGGGGGTTCGTACGTTCCGGAGCCTCCTTCGCGGGTCGGTTCGTGGCCGTTCTCGCGGTCCACACGCTAGGACGGGTCGTATGGCCATTCTTCCGAGTCGCCGCGATCGCCAGCAGCAATGTCTGGTCCAAGCTGCCTCTCCGCCTGGTACGCGTTTCTATTAGCATTGCTGTTTTGTTTTCATATTCCTACCGCAGCTGCAGCTGCAGCCTCCTGGTCCTGCTTTTCGTGTCGTTAGCAGTCTGTCACGACACGTGAGATTCTGGATCGCCATTTGCGGTCGGTTCAAGGGAACAGTGGAGCACGTGCGACGCGAGGTCGCACTCAGCACGCATGTCCATGGGAAACTCAAATGGCAATAAACGACACACGTGGCAGTCGGCACACATGGCCGTGAGCGACACACACAACAATGAATGGCAAGCATGACACGTAGCATGACAATGAGTGGCACGCATGACATTGTATAAGACGCATGACAATGAGTGGCACGCATGACATTGTATAACACGCATGACAATGAGTGCCAAGCATGACAATGAATGACACGCATGACCATATTGACTCACAATCTGCTCCACGCTCACTCCAACATGACTACAACCCTGAACTTCCAACTCTTCCATACCCAACAAGTCCTAACCATGCCCAACCTCCCCTCACGCACACCAGATGCCGGCCGGAGCAGCCAGTTCCGTGGCGCGGCTGCGGCCCTTCTGCATGCCGGTGCTGCTGCAGGTGGCTCTCAGCTCGCTCATCCCCCTCGCCTTCCCCGATGTCTGGCGCACTCTCCGCTTCTGGGACCGCCTTATGCCCATCTACATGGGGTGCGTTGTGAGAGTAAAGTTGAATGCTCTTTGGGAATCACATTTGAGAATTCTCAAAGGTTTTTTTCGCTTCTGGGACCGCCTCATGCCCATCTACCTGGGGTGAGTTCTTTGGGCCGCCTTCATTGCTCGTGCGTGCGTTCTCTCTCTGAGGGACGTCCATTGTTCATGTCCGTTCTCTGGGATGCTTATTTTGAGGCGTCTAAAAGACTCATTTGTGTCCACAAGGAATGCGTTCGTTGGGCTTCCGTACTAACTCAAGCCAATCTCCGTGGGGTGCGTCTCGTGAGGCGCATGTATTGTTTTTCTACATAGGGAAGCAAGTGGAAGCATCTGTGTGCATGTCACTTCTCTACCCCAAACCCCATCCCCCCAACCCCCCACCCTCGTTTCCCCACCCACCTTTTTTTCCTCCCACCCTTTTCCTCCTCCTCCCTCCTTCTTCACCCTTTCACTCCTCTCAACCCCGTCCCCTCCCTCCCCTTTCCCCCCTCACCCTTCCCCACCTCCCACCTCCTTCCTTCTCCAACCACTCCCCCACCATTTACATGAAGACTAAGCTGGCGGTGCGCAGGAAGCCCATTGAGGTTCGTTGGAGGCTCCTAAGAACAACCTCCCCCCCGCCCCCCCCCCCCCTTAACCCTTGGTCTCCTCCCCCAAGGTACATGAAAACGAAGCTGGCGGTGCGCAAGAAGCCCATTGAGGTTCGTTTGAGGCTCCTAAAAACACCCCCCCTCCCCCCCCTTAACCCTTGGTCTCCTCCCCCAAGGTACATGAAAACGAAGCTGGCGGTGCGCAAGAAGCCCATTGAGGTTCGCCACGAGAAGTGGGCTGTGCGCCACGAGTGGGGCGGCAAGTGAGTGAAAACTGGGCGGCTGTGAGCTGGGATGGGCGGCAAGTGAGCGGGGTTGGGGCGGGAAGTGAGTGGGAGTGGGTTGGCAATTGGGCGTGAATGGATATTTGAGTGGGAAATGAGCGCGGGCGGGTGAGAGGGAATGGGGCAACAAACGCCAGCATCCATGAGGCAGCATGCGTCAGGCAGCAAGTCTGGTCGACAAATTTTTTGAAATAGCTGAGCAAGAGTGAGGAGACTAGGGATAGGGCGCAGAGCACCGTCTTGTTCTCATTTGGTTGCTCTCTTTGTCCCTCACCACCAGCCTCATCCCTCTTCCACTGATGACCTCTCTTCCCTCTCCTCTTCTCCCCCATGCAGGCTAGTGCACGATCTGGTGCTGCGTCTCTGCGGCCCTTCTCATAATTCATAATTCATCTGGTGCTTCCCTCCCCACCCTCCCCTCTCTTTTCCTCCCTCTTCTTCCCCACCCCCCTTGCAGGCTAGTGCACGACCTGGTGCTGCGTCTCAGCGGCCTCTACGTCAAGTCTGCACAGATCCTTGCCTCCAAATCGGTACACTTCCATCCTTGCCTCCAAATCGGTACACTTCCATCCTTGCCCCGCATGTCCCCATCCGTGTCCCCATTCCCATGTTCCCGCCCATGCCCGCCCCCCATGTTCCCCCGCATGCCCCCCCCCCCCCCCCCCCCCATGTTACGGCGCCCAGCACTCACAGCTATGCCAACCCCGCCCCCTTCCCGCATCCCCCATGCTGTCCCCCCTGGTGGTGCCTTCCTCCCCCCCCCCCTCTGCCCCTCAGGACTTCATGCCAGCAGCGTGGGTGCGGCGCCTCTCAGCCCTATTCGACAACGTGCCCCCCCGCCCCTACTCGCAAGTCATCCGCTCCATCCAATGCGAGCTCGCCATCTGTCCTCCCCCTGCTGCTGTCCCTACTGCCCTCCCTGCTGCTGCCGATGGTGACGCTGTCGCTCCCTCCGTTCCTGCTGCCTCTGCTGCTGCTGATCCTGCTGCTGATCCTGCTGCTGTTGCGAATGGTGAAGCCCCTTTCGTCAAGCCCGCTACAGCCGACATTCCACCCAGTCAAAGCAAGTCAACGCAGGTCAAGCGCCGCGCACTGCTGGTAGCAGACGTGTTTGAGAGCATAGACGAGGAGTCCCTCGCCTCTGCCTCCATAGCCCAGGCGCATGCAGCTGTGCTCCTGCACCCGCTCCCTGAGAACCACCCCACTGACCCCACCAAGGTGCTGCCTATCCTGCCGCACCTCACGAGTAAAGAGAGGGACGCCCTTGGGATTGCCGCGGAGTGCACTGAGGTGTGCTTTGTGGCGAAGACGGATCGGCTGTGGGTGACGCCGCTGTTCCAGTCGGCTTTTCAAGCACCGTCCGTAGAGACAGCAGTTGCAGCGGTAGCAGGTGGAGTAAATGTAGGTTTAGCAGCGGTGGCAGGAAAAGATGCAGCAGGAGCAGCAGCAGCAGGTGCTGTGAGTCCGCTGCAGGTTGTAGCAGCACCAGCGGCTGCAGCGACAGCAGAAACACCAGCAGCAGCAGCAGCAGCAGAAACAGCCACAGTGGCAGCTGTTGTGACTTCTTCCCCTGCAATAGGTTCAGCAGGTGCAGTAAATGTAGTAGGTGCGAGCAGCAGTCCAGCCCCAAGGAGAACTGTGCCTGGGGTGATATCTCGTCTGGTCCCACTGGACCGCAAGCCAATCGGAGTCATGACTGCGGATGGAACCATCAAACCCATCTCCCCTGCCGGCCCTGCCCTACCTTCGCCTTCTACTGCTGGAGGAGTAGGAGCAGCAGCAAGTGGAGCAGCAGGAGCAGCCATGCTGAAGCGGCCTATTCCTCCCCGGTTGGCAAATGACAGGACAGAAGAGGGCGAGCAAGAGGAGGAGGGCGAGGAGGAACAGTTTTTCGATGGTGAGGTAGGGGAGAGCAGCGAGAGTGGGGACGAGAGGGACGATTTCTTTGACGCGCATTCCGAGGCCCATGAACTCGGCGCTGACGTGGCGAACAGCAGCCACGTGGCAGCGTGTGAGGGACGGGAGGGAGGGGTCACGGGAGCAGCAGAGGGGGGGACCGGTGAAGAGGGAGGTAACGAGGAGGAGAATGAGAGGGAGCGGGAGAGGGAGAGGCAGCGGGGCAGGGCGGTGGTGGTGAAGGTGCAGCATCTGGGCATGGATATCATCATGCGCTCCGACCTCAGAAACATAGGGCGTGTGGCTGAGTTCCTCTCGCCCCAGCTGCCCTTCGATCTCCGCAATGTGAGCCCTGCATGGTGTGGTGTGCTGTGGTGGGTTGGGATGTGGTGTGGTGTGGTGTGGTGAGGTGTGGTGTGATGTGGTACGGTGCGGTGCAGTGTGGTGTGGTGTGGTCTGGTGTAGGCACATTGTGTGAAGTGGCGTGGGGGCGGGGCAGGGCGGTGGTGGTGAAGGTGCAGCACCTGGGAATGGATGTCATCACACGCTCAGACCTCAGAAACATCGGCCGCGTTGCTGCGCAATGTGAGCCCCCGTGCGCTGTGCTGTGGCTTAGGCATATGCAGTGCGAGCTCTGCTGCCCTTCATCACCACCATTCGCCACAACCTCGCATGCAGGGGTTTCTTGCTCTTTGCCCGCTGCTCTTTCTGCCCCCTCATTCCGGTTCCCCGCTTCCTACTCCTCTTTTTTCCCTTGCCTCTTCCACCTCCCCTTCACTCTCTCGCCTCGTCCCCCTCCCTCTGTCCCCCTTTCTCGAGCCACATAGTGAAGGAAATACAGCAGACCATTCCCAGCAGTTCCCACACTCCTCTCGCCCCCGTCCCTTGCCCCCTTGCCCCCTTGCTCTTTTTCAACCCACCAACCAGATAGTGAAGGAGATACAGCAGACCATTCCCAACAATTCCCACGCTCCTCTCGCCCCCGTCCCTTGCCCCCTTGCTCTTTTTCAACCCACCAACCAGATAGTGAAGGAGATACAGCAGACCATTCCGAACGAGTTCAACTTCCAGAGAGAGGCCGCCTTCATGACCACCGTGCGCCACAACCTCGCCTGCCGGGGCTTCCACCAAGTCGTCTGCCCCACGCCCGTCTTGGATCTCTGCACGCGCCGCATGATCGTCATGGAGGTACGCAGTGCTGGGGGGTGCTTCGGGGTACTCAGGGGTGCTGGGGGTTGCTGTGGGGTGCTTGAAGGTGCAGTGTTCACCGGGCCCGCCTTCATGACCACCGTGCGCCACAACCTCGCCTGCCGGGGCTTCCACCAAGGCGTCTGCCCCACGCCCGTCTTGGATCTCTGCACACGGCGAATGATCGTCATGGAGGTATGTGGTGCTGTGGGGTAGTAGTGGGTGCTATGGGGTGCTGCTGGGTGCTGTCTTGAGGCGTCTCAAGGCTTCTACCAGGTCGTCTGCTCCACGCCCATGCTGCACCTCTGCAGACGCCGCATGATCGCTGAGGAGGTTGCAGTGGTGGTTGTGGTGGTTCTGTCCGGTGTTGCTGTTGCTCCCATCACGCCACCCCTACGACAGAAGCACCTCCCTCATTTCTTCCCTAACCTTTTCAACCCTTTTTCCTCCCTTCACCCTTTCCTTTCCCCCATCTCTGCCCCTCCCAGAGGCTCTACGGCACACCATGCACCAAGATAATCGACTCTCTACACCCCTACAATACAAGCACTTCCTCCTTCCTCCCCACTCCCCTTCCCACATTTTTTTCCCTCCAGAGGCTTTACGGCACACCATTCACCAAGATAATCGACTCTCTACACCCCTACAAGGATTCCTCCCTCCTCCCTCCTCCTCTTGCTGCCACTCGCCTAGAAGCAATCTCAGCCGTCCGTTCCCTCCTCGAATCCTACGGTGCCATGTTCTTCCTGGACGGCGTTTTCCATGCCGACCCGCACCCGGGAAACCTTTTGCTGCTGCCCGGCGCCAAGCTCGGGCTGCTGGACTTCGGGCAGTCGAAGGTTTTGGAGCGGCAGACGAAACGTTCGTTTGCCCGGATGGTTGTAGCCTTGTGTAAGGGTAACCAGCTGGAAATCGCCCTAGCTCTGTTAGGAACAGGAATATCGTTCGGGGGAGAGGCTGATTGGACTACTTTCTTCTCTAAACCAGGGGAGGAGTCAACAGGGGGGAGAGCAGCAGGAGGGGCAGAGGAGGTTGGTAAGGGCGGAAAGGGGGGCGGCGAGGCAGTGAAAGTAGAGCCAATGATGAATGGACACGTGTCAGAGAGTGCTCAATGTAACGGCCTGGCAACAGTCCATAGTGTGGCTGCTGCTGCTGCTGCTGCTGCTGCTGCTGCTGCTGCTGCTGCTCCTGCTCCTGCAGGGCTGGGCCTTGGTTCTGGTCTGGGACCCAAGCGGCCAGCAGCTTCAGGCTCAAAAGCAGCATCAGCAGACACGGTCGCAGCAGCAGCAGCATCAACAGGCACAGGGACAGGGACAGCAACAGCAGCGCCAGGAGGAGAGGCAGTGGTGGGGCTGCCTGGTCTGGGCCCCAGGCCGAGGAAAAAGAAGACGGTTGCATTCAGCGACCCCCTCACTCTCGGCCCTTCTGCCTCCTTAGGTTCTGCTGCCGCCGCCGCTGGTGCTGCTGCTGCTGGCATGCCAGCTGCCCCAACGAAAAGCAACCTCATTGCCCCCGCACCTGCAGTGCCTGCTGCTGGTTCTGCCACTCCCACTGCTGCACCAGCTGCACCCGTTTCTACTACGGCTCCTGCTGCAGCGTCCTCTGCTGCTGCCACTCCTGCTGCCGCCACTCCTGTAGCTGCGGGGGGATCACCAGTGCTGCATGGGGTGGAAGGGGGAACGGTGTCTGCTGCAGTGCTGGCTGCTGTGGTGGCCTTCACAGAAAACGCCCCTCCTGATGACGCCCCTGCTGCTCCCACCACCACTGCTGCTGCTCCTGCTGCTGTTGCTGGTGTGAGTGAGAAGGGAGGGGAGGAGAGCAGTAGCAGCAAGGCAGGTGCGGGGAGGGGAGAATCCGACGGGGAGTCAGTGCTGGCGACGCTGCTCAAGGAGGTGGGACCGGCCGGGCTGCTGGCAGCAGCAACGCCGCAGCGGCTGCAGACGGTGCAGACGCTGTCGTACCTCATGTTTGACACGCGCCCCATGGCTGAGGCCCAGACGTCACCCCTTGCTCAGGAGTCTGTGCTTCAGAAGGCGCCGCTCAAGGCGTTCAACCAATCGTACTGGCTGGTGAGTGGTGGGGGGAAGAGGGGAAGGGTTGGGGGATACAGAGGCTGCAGACGGTGCAGACGCTGTCGTACCTCATGTTTGACACGCGGCCCATGGCTGAGGCCCAGACTTCCCCTCTTGCTCAGGAGTCTGTTTTGCAAAAAGCGCCGCTGAAGGCTTTCAACCAGTCCTACTGGCTGGTGAGTGGGTTGGGGCAAGGGAAGAAATGGTAAGAGTTTGATACGGGCTGATCTGGCTGGTAGGTAGGTGTGGGACTAGTGATGGGGAAGGTGGGGGGAAGAGGGGGATACAGGGGCTGCAGACGGTGCAGACGCTGTCGTACATCATGTTTGACCGGGAGAGCCCATATTGCTCCGGCGCCCTGAAAACTTTTGAGGCGCCTCAAAAGTCGTGACAGGCAATGTTGCTCCGCCGCCTTGAAAACAGACTCGAAGTTGCCTCTCTCCCTCTCCCTCCTCCTATCGACGTATCCCCCTATCCTCCTCACCCACTCCTCCATCTGTTTCAAATCGTTAGGGGTATGCTGCTGCTACGAGGTCGGTGCCACATTTGATTCTTGGCCTAATCCCCTTTCCCTGTTACCCCTCCCCATCCTTTCCCCCCTCTCCTTTCTCTGCATTAGATTGTGAGAGCGATGCTGCTGCTGCGAGGGCTGTGCCACTCGCTGGATGCTGACATCTCAGCCGTCCAATTGTGGAGGCCCTATGCCGAGGCTCTGCTTGCACAAGACCCATAGGAGAGCCCACAAGAGCTTATGCCGAGGCTCTAATTGCACAAGACCCATAGAAAAGCCCACCAGCAGTGGCAGTACACTGCACCTCTTGATTTTTGAGGCACCTAAAAAACAATGATTGAGCAGCCCTCCTAGCGCAGCACCCCTATGCCAGCCATTCTAGTGCTGGTTGCGAACCCATTCGAGGCTGGGCCACCACCACCCTGTTGGCTAGGTTCCTAACCGCCAGTCGCTTTGCCAGTAAAAGTTCCCGTGTACAGCCCCTGTTGAGCAGCAGCTAAGCACAGGGATTTGGCAACAACTTTTGGTGTAACCTGCCACTGTGATTTGCCTTTCAGTAACAATTGAATAAGTTCTGTGTGTTAAGCACAGAATGGCAGTGTCATATCTATAGTTTTAAACATTCTAGGAAAAAGCCTCTCGGTGGAGTGGGAAAACGACAGTCAACCTTCTGCTCGAAAGCCTCACTTATGTACGGTGCAGAAGTACAACGAGTGTATGTATAGATTAAGTATGTTAGTCTTCAGGATGATAGCTGGTGGCAGGACGCGGGATCTCAGATTAGCCCGTTGGGCTTGAGGACGCCATCCACACCGTGCGCTCGTATAAACTGCCCCTTGAAAAGATCTGGATCGTCGATTTGTGCCCACGTCAGCACGTTCGCCCCAGGAGGGCCGAGGGCGACAGTTGTACCGTGCGAAAGGAAACCCGTCTGCGTCTTGAATCGTACGAGCTGTTTGCCGTTCAGTTGCGTTTTCAGCTTCCCGCCAACGGGAATCGCCTTTATTTGTGCAAACGGGTACAAGCCTTCGATGACGTTGAAACGGATCAGGTCGCCCATGAGCTTCGGCACTATAGCGCGTATGCCGACTCCCGTGAGAGCGATGTTGGTGGGAATTAAAGCAGTGTTTTCGGATAGAAACTCCACGTTTATGTTTGCTTGGGGCAGTTTCTCTGAAAGAAAGAACAATAAAAGTGCGGAATTGGCATTGAAGAAGATGAGTTGCATGTTGAGGTGTCGCGTCAATCACGTTAGCTGGAAATGACCAGGAAAAGGAGATAGAAGTCGAAGCGGGATGAGGGTGGGGAGGGAAAGGGAAAGATGAGCGGTGAGGGTGGTTGATGGGGGTTGGATGGTGGTAAAGTGGGATCGAAAGGGAACAAGGAAATGGCAACACATCGGCCGAAAGTGACTACAGCACTTACTTAGCTGTTTGATTGACCGTTGTAACGCGTTCGCTACAATCGAGTATTTGAACGGGTTCTTGAGGAGGGTCTTCTGCAGCTGTTCTAGTTCCGCGATGAACTCGGCAGGCGTCGGCCCCGCAGCCGCCGCTACGGCGAGTGAGAGAACGAGAATCGCTCCTAGCAAAGCCCTACTCGCCATGCCACGCTACTCGTGCGGATGCTATTAGGTCAATTTATCTCGCTCGTGAGGGATTGCGAGATTCTATATGTACACGCTCGGTTGATGCTGCTGTGGTTGACGAGTCGTCTTCGTTCGATTGACAGGTCCTACCGCGTGGGCAGTGAGTTTAGATGGAGTCGTCCGTCTGTGCAGGTTCCCGAAGAGAAATACATAAATATCACGGATTCACTCGCAATGCTAGTCTGGTCAGTGTGCTTGGCAAGGCAGTCGCGCCAGCTGTTGGCGCTAGCAAGCTCTCAAATATGCCAGATTGCGACCGACATTTTTCTGATGGGTGCATGGAGGGAGGTGGAAGTGGGAAGTGACTTGATTTGGAAGCACTCCCCTCCTGCTCCTGGAACTGTGAGGAAGTGCGTAGAGTGGTGACGAAATTGTAGGAAGTGGATGAGTGGGCGTGGCGCGAAATTTAGCTTGCGAATTATGGAATGAATTTGTTTGCAGCGGCTCGAGAATTTTGTGAGCGCGAGAAGCACGAAAGTGAGGTGGCGTGAATTGCGGCCTGCTGTGACAGCAACTGATGCAGCTGTCCCTCTTCCGTGTGTTGCGGTGGCGGCGAAATGCTGAGCGAGTTACTCAGCTGTGGGCGACAGAACATGCCGACAAACAAGCGTTTGGTATTAGAGGGTGTAACTGCTGTTTTACTTACAGCGACAGCTTTTGCGCCAAGAGGTGTCAGATTGTATATTAGTATAAGCATGTACAAACCAGAGAGTCTATCAGCTGGGTTTAGGCACATCTAACAAACATAAAAGCCAAAAGGGAAACTCTTATTATGCTCGATCACCTTGACCAGCAGCACCCACTTCCGAGCCCCCATAGCACCTTTCCTACCACTACCTAAGCCAGGCAGGCGGTTTCCGAGCAAGGCAAGGAGTCCGTAACTGGTAGCAGGCAGGCAGACAAGTGTTGGGAGCCCAACCTGGCCGTTGACTCGGCGTCAAATACGCCGAAGCCCGTCTACAGTTGTACGCACATATTTGAAATAAACACTCGCAGGGCGAGAGATTCCCGCAAGTGAGGGCCTGATCAGTGAACGGCCAAGGGGGAGGGGGACACAGTGCTGTGGAAGTGCAGGTAGTGCCGGTGAGAGGCTTTAAAAACATGCGGCCACGGCAGGCTGATTCACACGGCGCACACACTCCTTGCCGAAACGGCATCGCATACACCTTCTTCGCCGCACACCCGCTGCCGTACGTCACCCCGTCAGCCCCACACACGACCGACGTCGCCAGCGGGCAGACGTCAGAAAAGATCCGGTTTTTGCAGGGTATTAGGAGCAGTTGCCCTTGCGAGATGGCGGAATCGTCGCAGGAGGGGAGAGTGTTGGTGTCGCAGATAGAAATGGGGAAAGTGTTGTTGAGGCAGAGAGTGTTGAAATACTTGGATATGGAAGCAAGGGTATCGTTTGCAATGACAGTGTAGGGGATAACGTCGGAAGAGAGTGAGTCAGCACTGAACGCGTCGATTGCTCCTGCGACACACACCTGCTGCCCGATCTGGAAGTACGGCGGGTCACACTGCAATGGGAAGAGGAGGAGAGAAGGGAGCGGGACGAGCGGAGCAGGGTGAGAGGTGGGGGCATGGAGTCAACATGAGAAAAGGAGAACAACAGGCAGTAACAAGCCAAGTAATTCAGGGTGTAGACTAGATCTTACCCTGAGCCCAGGATTGAGCTTCATGAAATCATCCATGGAGAGCAAAGCAGCGTTGGCGATCACTTGTGAGGCACCTCAAAGTGGTCCCATGCTAGGGTGTACACAATAGCTTACCTTGAGAGCCCAAGGTATAAAACTAGAGCTTACCCTGAGCCCGGGATTGAGCTTCATAAAATCATCCATCGAGAGCAGAGCAGCATTGGCGATGCGGCTGCAGGTGTCGGCCTGGGTGACAGAGTACCACTCAGCACACTCCACGCTCACCAGCTCCACTGTTAGCGGTGCCACACAGAGCAGCATGGATGGATCCAGAGGGGCTGTGGTGGTGCATCTCAGCCCTGGGTTGAGGCTGCGAGGGGGGGATGGAGGGAGGGAGGAGTGGGGAGTTAGGGTGTCTGCCTGGGTGACCAAGTACCACTCGGCACACTCCACGCTCACCAGCTCCACTGTTAGCAGTGCCACGCAGAGCAGCATTGAGGGGACTAGAGGGGCCGTGGTGACGCATCTCAGCCCTGGGTTGAGGCTGCGAGGGGGTAAGGGCAAAGGGAGCGGAAGAAAAGGTGGGTTACACGAAGGACATTCGCAGACTCGCAGCACCAGTGAGCCCATGGATTTTTTAGTCAAGCGAAACATTTACAGCAAGAAGCGGGTGAGCGAATCGAGTAAAACACTCACAGCAAGAGGCGGGTGAGCGAATTGAGTAAAACACTCACAGCAAGAGGCGGGTGAGCGTGATGCTGGCGTTAAGCGCCACATTCATGCAGGTATCCCCCGGCTGCACCCGGTACGTCTGCCCACACGACACAGCCGCCGGCGCGGTTGTCGACAGCATTCCTGACCGCACACACACCGTCGACGACACTCGCAGTGATGGCGATGGAGCGGGCAGCGAGCAGTTCACACCCGGGTTGAGCGCTTGTAACACTTTTACGGTAACGTTGTTACGCGTTGCAATGGCGGTGCAGGTGTCGTTTGGGGAGATGAGATCGACGGCTGCGCAGCCGAAGGTGACGTTGGTGTCGCCGGCGACAATGAGAATGTAGCCGGGCGTGAGGGGCTGGATGGAGCAGTCGACAAAGGGATTTCGGGCTTCAAGAGATGCTGGGGTGATGTTGAACGCGCGCGCGAGGGACTGGATGGGGAAGGGAGGAGGGGGGGGGGGGGGGGGGGGGGGCAGGGAAGGGCGGAGAGAGGAAAACAAGGAAGCGAGGGGAAGAGAGATGGTCAGAAGATGGGAGTGACGTTGGTGTCGCCGGCTACAATGAGTATGTAGCCGGGCGTGAGGGGCGGGACGGAACAGTCAATGAAGGAGTTTCGGGCTTCGAGGGATGTGGGGGTTATGTTAAACGCGCTCGCGAGGGACTGAAAGGGGGGGAGGAGAGGAAGAAAGGGGAGGAGATGGGGAGAGGGAGAGGGAAGGGATGGGGGGAGGGAAGAGGGAAGGGAGGAGAGAGGAAGCAAGGTGTGAATTCGCTCAAGGAAATGAGGGGGAGAGGGAGCAGGAAGGAAAGCAAAGAGGGGAGGAAGAGGAGGAAGAGGGGAAGAGAGGGGACGAGGTTGCTTAAGAAAGTATAACAGAGAGAAGTGTATGGGAGGAGTGAGCGAGTAGAAAATGGGATGGAGGTGGGGAGAAAAAGGAAGAGGAGAGTGGGGAAGCGGGAGAAGGAAGGGGAGCGGATAAAGGGGGGAGAAGCGGAGGCGGAGTGGGAAGCTGAGGGGAGTGGCGCGCCTCACCTCGCACGTGTCCCCCGCGGCAACGGTGTAGGTCTGCAGGCCGCTCTGAAACGTGCCCAGCACGCACGTCATAGCGCCGTCCGTGCGCGCGCCAATCACCGAACCCTGCGGACAACACAGGGGGGGAAGGCGGAAGGCGGAAGGGGAGGGACGGGGAGGAAAATGGGACAGTTGGGGGAGGAAGAGATGGTGGTGAAAGGGGCAGCGAGTGGGGCAGCGACTGGACGGGAATACTAGAAATCAGGGGGAACGTAGGGGCAAGGAAAAGGAACGTGGAATCGCCGCGCAAAGCAGAGAGGGATTCGTACTGCGGGGCAGGAACAGGTGTAGCTGCCATCGAATTTATTCGAGCAGTTTCCCGAGCCGCACGGATTCGGGTTCGCGCCGCACGGGTCCGCACGCACGCATTTGGGCGGCCCAGTCGATTCCCTCCTCTCCAAAAATCCCGCGGGGCACGTGCACCGCGCCGCGCCATCCGAATCCAATCTGCATGTGCCCCCACCACACGGCTGCGGGCGAACGTTACACGGGTTCGCATTACTTCGCGAATCGTAAAAAGTTGGGTACACCGCAGGTTCGCTGTGGATGTTACACTTCCCACTCGGTTGGCTGTCGTTGAAAATCGGCAGCTTCATGTAACCCATTTCGCCCCACTCCGGACCCCAGGTGTTTTTCAGCAGCCAGTAGGGTCCCTCCGTCGCATCCAAACTGTAACCCATTACAATCATCGCGTGGTCGATATCTTTTCCGCAAGCTCCTATAAATAACCCCCCGCTGTATGCCCGAAAATCGTCGCTATCCGTGGCGATGTAAACCAGAACCGGCTGCTGCGAAACCGCTTTCATCAACGAATCCGCGCTTTTCGCCGGAACTTTTTCCCAGCCGCTAACGTTCCCCAATTTCACCGCTCCGGCTTGCAATGAGCGGCAACTCAACCCATCCATAGCAGTGTACGGATAATCAATCTCCCGCGCGACGCCGCCGTTGCTCATCGCGTAGAGAAACACCCACTCGGGCCAGCCGCCGCGGCAGCAGCTGCCCGTGCCGCAGTCGCAGACCTGCTGCGGCGCGAGCGGGACGGGCGCCGTTGCGTTGAAAGCGAGGGCCCAGAGCATCGAGAGCAGGTCCGTCGCTGCTAGCGCCCAACAGCTCTCGCACTGCAGCGGGAGGGGAGGAGAGGGGGGAGGGAGACGGGATGAGTGGGGGAAGGGAGAGGAGAACCGGAACGGCGGTGATGAGAAGGAGCGGGCGGTAACCCTAGGTTGACCCCGAATACACGACGACCGTGCGCCTGAAACCGGAAATAACCGAGCAGCCCCGTCCTGCACCGCACTAAACCCGACCGCACCGACGTACGCTCTCCCTTACCCCGTCCTGGAGCAGCAGGCCCGTTCTGTACCGCGACGCGCGCCAGTCGACGAACCGCAGCTGCGACACCGTCTCAAAGCGGTACCACGGCTGGTTAAGGTCGCCCGTCGTTGGCGGCGACCCCAGCGCTGGCGCCTGAATCGGCACCAAGTCCGTGGTCAACAGCCGACGCGCCCGCTCCGCGGAACTCAGGCGGGAACTCAGTCCGCGTAACGCCCCGGACCGCCGCGGGATAGAGCGGCCGCCGCCGCCACTGCTGCTGCTGCGGGCCGTGATACTATTAACAAGGGTCATACTAATAACGGTACTGCGGCCGTTCCGGCTGCTCATGGTGATGCGTTCCAAGTCTGACGTCGCGTCGCCATACCCCTCCTGCAGAAACACCTGCGCGATTTCTTCCAGGCTGCTCGGCTGCTGCGCGCCGTGTTTCACGGCGGCCCACTTCTCCCGCATGTGCACCTCAAACAGCGGCTCCGGTTGGCCCGTCAGCGCGGCTTTCAAGCGATCACCGCCGCCCAATGCGGAAGAGGGACGCCGCAATGAGTCTAGGGCAGGGCCGTTGCGGCTGGCTAGGATTGCAGTCGGGTGGAGAACGTTGAGAAGGACAAGGAGGGCGACAGCCGCGACGGCCATTCGAGAACGCGAAAAGGGTATTCGTCTCCACATTAGGAAAATCGGAAACTGTCGAATACCGTCTCGTACAAGATTAGCCGGTCCGTTTTGAGTCGCCTTATAGATTGAGTTGGGTGGTCGCATCGCCGTAGCCTGCGGGCGTTGCGACGAGCTCGAGGGCGATTCGCGGCGAGAGCTTCTCAAAGCCTGATCCGTTACGAGCGTCCGTCCATCGCCGTCACAGCGGCCGGCTAACTTGTTGCCGGAGCAGCCGCCTGACCAAGAACCGTCAGTGGCACAACCAGTCAGCCTAATTTCAAAGATCGGATGCATTGACGGGTCAGAAACAGTACACGTGGCTGGAACTATCCCTCTTATCCTTATCCGCCGAACGACGCTACCAAGGCACGGCCTTGCACTACACGGAACGATCCAGCTTGCTAGTCAGACAGGAGGTGTGCTACTAATCAAGAACTTACGACACCAGCCTAATAACTCATATCTCCAGAGAAAGCATTATGTCGCTGCGTCACGGCGAACGATGTTCGAAGACATTCCTACTGCAGATTAGCATCGTCGAGGTTCGCATCGCATGCGACTTGCTCTGTCAGCTGAACGGAACGTTAGTAACCTTCCAACTCAACTGAAGGGCGGTTGAAATTGCTGTTGCGGTGGCTCCGCCACTACTGCAGCTGCTGAAACCCCTCTATCCAGTCCTTTCAGTCGTGTTGCGCTGGACCCGCGCTCGCTGCGGGGCGTTTTGACAACAGCCACAGGAGCAGCACGTAACCCTAACGGAGAAAGAACCGTTTTACGCCTGCAGGTTTCGGTCCGCAGAGATACAAGCAGGCCAGATAGCGATGGTTAAAAGGGGTACACCCTGTTTCGCGCTAGCAGAGCATCTGGTTGCAGAACATGCACTGGTTGTAGAACGTCACCACGTTTGAAATGGTCTTATCACCGACGGTACAAGCACATTCACAAGAAAGCGGTTAGCTAGGATGCTGCATGGTAAAGAACATTAACCAAGCGTTTCAAAGCGGTTGAAAAGGGTATACAGCGATAAAGAAAAAATTTGCCCCCAGTACCACTCCGTCAGCTGGTGCGGCTTTGCCCGCAGGTTTCAGCCATACGGTTTATGGCACCTGACCGCACTGTAGCAGCGAATCGCGCAAGGTGAGAGGGTCGAGAAACAGGGTGTAGTTAAAACAAAGGCTTGGGGTAGGGTGTAGCACGGTGGAATGAAGGTAGGAGGTGCACAAGAGTGGCGGTCTTTTTCTGCTGTTTTGTGGAAGGGGCAGAGCGATGCTGTGGAGTGGGTAGGATAGGTTGGGGAAAGCTGGTTGTGTGCAACACAGGGCAGATTTGTCGCTCCTGGTGAAAGTGGTCGGTGTTTCTTTCGCCACCGAAGCAGAGCTGACCCAGTAGGAAACGCGTTGGGCAGAGAAGAAACGGAAGAAAGAAACCTCTGAGAAAGTTTGACACTTCGCGTTACGCCAGAAACGAGAGTGGGTGAGGGGGCTTCGCGTGTGACAGGTCAGCAGCATCAGCCACTGCTGCAATTGTGTCCGTTTCTGGGGCAAGGTGGGAGTGGGGGACTCCCTCGAAACCCAATCCGTTTGGATGGACGATGGGAATCGGGCTGGATTTTGTGGCAGGGGTTCTGAAACCCTTCAGTGTGTGCCTCCTCATAAATGTGACCATCTTTGTGCTGTATATGTGACTTCTAACAACAAATAACATAGGAAATAAGGAAGCCTGAATGTTTATTTTCGTGGGATTTCGGGGTTTTACACAAGGAAAGAGTCTAGTTGACATGCAAACATGTTTGTGAGATAGTTCAGCGAAGCTGCAAATACACCCTGTTTCTCGACCCTCTCACCTTGAGCGATTCGTTGCTACAGTGCGGTCAGGTGCCATAAACCGTATGGCTGAATCCTGCGGGCAAAGCCGCACCAGCTGACGGAGTGGTCCTGGGGGTAAAATTTTCCTTTATCGCTGTATACCCTTTTCAACCGCTTTGAAACGCTTGGTTAATGTTCTTTACCACGCAGCATCCTAGCTAACCGCTTTCTTGTGAATGTGCTTGTACCGTCGGTGATAAGACCATTTCAAACGTGGTGACGTTCTACAACCGGTGCATGTTCTGCAACCAGATGCTCTGCTAGCGCGAAACAGGGTGTACAAGACGCAAGCAGTCAACAAATTTGCGGTGCACACTTTTTCCCCTGCCTACCTTCCTCATGACAAAACAAATCCCAGAGCGTAGTCTAGATCGCGGAGCTACCCTGAGTACATTTTTAGCATGTCCTTTCTTTATAAAGGAGAAAGACAGAAACGTAGGGCGTATTCTTAGTTCGTGTCAGACACGAAGCGGAGTTTTGGATGTAGGTTCGGAAGACTCGAAGTGGCCCACTTCGTGTCTTCCGAACATTGATTTGCCAGAGTTACAGGTCACTTTGGGTCTTCCCAACTTCACTTCGTGTCTGACCTCATGTCAGACACGATCCAAGAATACACCCCCAGTCTGGAACTCGAGAAGCTGGTTCACACGATCAACACCCCAAAGCTACACACTGATGAAATAGAGAAAGAGCTAGGAGTTTCCCCAGAACAAAAAGATGGTGATGGAATTTCCGCCAGTGGGCCCAAACTGGTCGGGAATCTAGATTCCCCTTGTGGCCCCCAAGCTCGTCATGGTCATGGAACGGACGGGCCCCATTGTCAACCCATCATCACACACACACATCTGCTGAAACAACCGCGCTCTACGGCGCGCAGTGCGGTGGGAGTTCCCACTTGCAACACTGCGTGATCTGTGTCAGCAGTGTCGATTTGGAGGACGAATTTGGCCAACAGCACTCTGCTTTGAACACGACAAGTGCGGACACAAATCTAAAGGACGATCCCGAAATTGGTTTGTTGATGAAAAACCCCTGTTACTGTACATATTGGCTATGATTAGCAGGCCATATTGATAACATTAACTTCCAACAAAAGCTCCTCTAAAGCAAACAGCACATCACATCTGCTTCATGTCAACACTAAGTGCCACAAGGGTATTATTCACAGTACAGTCACAACCCCATAGATGCACAGAAATTGCGACTCATTGAAGTGGCATTTTCCACACCATCACCACCAGCTCTAGACAATGCAGCTGCTGACGTGGACGGCGGCGACGCCAGCTGGCGGCAGAATAAAAACGCAGCCTGGATCCTATCTTCTGGGGAAGCATCCGGAGCAACCACTCCAGCCAGTCCCTTCATTTCCCTAGCCACGGTTGTGTACTGGCCAATCAGATTCAAGACTTCTTTCTCTGCTTCCTTGAGCACTGGTAGTGGGATCTGGTGAGCAACAGAGAAGGGGAGGAAGGTGGAGAAGGGGAGGAAGGTGGAGATGGGGAGAATGGGGGAGATGGGGAGAAAGGTGGAGAAGGGTGGGGGGAGAGTGGTTTTGCAGATGTTTGCACACATCCACACCACAGGCATACTCGTTAACAGGTACAAGCCATCGCAACTGTAGACACAGCAAGGAGAATTTCCACCCACAACACAGCCCTCACCAGAGCAGAGGGCCCCTCATAAGCCTCTATGGTGCCTGCAGCCTGCAACGGCTTGAGCGTGAGCGGGTCAAAGAACAGCCACGCTGCTGCTGACAGGGTGTATTTTTTTAGGCACCTCAAACATGTACTCACCAGAGGAGAGGGCCCCTTATAAGCCTCCATGGTGCCTGCAGCCTGCACCGGCTTGAGCGTCAGCGGGTAAAAGAGCAGCTGCACCACTGCTGACAGGGTGTGTTTATGAGGCACCTGCAAACATGGACTCACCAGAGCAGAGGGCCCCTTATAAGCCTCCCCGGTGCCTGCAGCCTGCACCGGCTTGAGTGTGAGCGGGTCAAAGAACAGCTGCAGCGCTGCTGGCTGGGTGGGCTGCTGCAGTGAAGCTGCTTGTACAGAAGCTGCTTGCAATGAGGATGCCTGCATGGAGGGATTATACAGCCGCAGCGATTGCAGGGACTCGGACTGCTGCTGCTGTAGCAAGACTGGTTGCACTGCCTGCTGCTGGGTCAGTGGCCTGGTTACGTCGACAGATTGCTGCTGCTCCTGCTGGAGCGACTCGATAAGAGGTGACTCGTTACTGTGCGAGCCGAGGGCCAGGGGCATGAAGAGGAGGGCGCTGAGGCCCACTGCTGCTGCTGCCCTGGCGAAGAGAGCAGTGAGGGAGGAGAAGTGCCCTGGCGGTGACGGGGGGGCCTGCTGGGTTGATGTAGCGGGGTTGTCAGTGGCGGGGGAGAGAGAAGCCGGGGGAACAGAGGAGGGGGAGTTGGAAGAGGGGGGGAGAGAGGCCGAGGGAGTGGAGGGGTTTGAGGCAGAGGAGGAAGATGCGAGTGTGGCTGCAGCTGCTGCATCGTTGCTGTTCTCCTCTTGCCATTCATCTGTTTCTTCTGTGTGAGCGCCTACTTTCTTGGTGTGCTCTCCATTCACCTCCGCCTGCTGCTGCTGCTGCTCCTGCTGCTGATTCCCTGAGTCAATAGCTCCAGGTGCTACTGCTGCAGTGCCTGCTGCTGCTGCAGCGGCGGCGAATGACGGTACAACAGGTACAGCAGCACCAGCTGCTGCTGCAGTTGCTGCTGTGGCTGTGGCTGCAGGGGATGGCACAGCAGGTGCAGCTGCTGTGGCTGTGGCTGCAGGGGATGGCACAGCAGGTGCAGCTGCTGTGGCTGTGGCTGCAGGGGATGGCACAACAGGTGCAGCTGTTGCTGCTGTGGCTGCAGGGGATGCTGGGCCTGAAACATAGGCGGCTGAAGCTCCGGGTACTGTAGCGGGCGGCGCTGACGTCCGGGTAGCGGACGGAACCCGGGCGGCAAGAGGTGCCGCTCCCAGCTCACGGCGTTTGGCATCTATTGCCACCACGGCTTCCCGCAGACACGACGCTGAGGCGAGAAGCTTCTCCTCCTCCTGCACATGGGGCATGGCCGGTTGTAGAATTGCAGGCAGGAGAGGAGCAGCAGGCAGGAGAGGAGCAGCAGGCGAAGAAATGGCAATGCGACGAATGAAGCGTGTGCTATGCTGGAAATGGTCATACCACGCTTTACCATCCCAGCATTAACATGGAAGAAATGGCTATGCTGGAAATGGTAATGGTGGTATAAGTGATTTAATCAATGGTGATGTGATCATGATACGAAACAGGCTAAGGTCAGAGGAAGGTTCCTCTATGAGCTGCTCTGATAACGGTTCGGGGTATATTGTAAGTGAGAAATGGCGATACGAATGTTTCACGCAATGGGGGGCGATGATGACCCACCTCTGAGAAATGCTCCTCTATGGGCTGATCTGATAACGATGTCAGTGCCGCCGCGTCCACTGCTGCTGCATTCTTGCCCAGCCGAGACACATGCTTCTTCACCCTGTTGCCAGGCAAACGCCACGCACACGTCATTCACGCCATGCACACGCCACCCACACGCCATGCACACGCCATTCACGCCATGCACACGCCACCCACACGCCAAGCACACGCCACCCACACGCCATGCACACGCCACCCACACGCCAAGCACACGCCACCCACACGCCACCCACACAACCCACACGCCATGCACATGCCGTGAAATCCAATGAAGCATGCAACCGAAACACAGGAAGCAGGCTGAGGAACCAAACCAGAGCAACGAGGTCCAACTGTTATATGCACCTCACTCCCCACAAAGGGATATGGAAATCGAGGTTCAGGCGTCTCAAAACTCAAAAGTGGATATGGAGATACACATACAAGAATTCTCATGCGAGCCTACTCCAACTCAACCCGCTCCAACTACGTCCCCTTACCTCCCTGCCTTTCCAACTCCAACTAAACTGAGGAAAAAGCCGTCCCTCAGAAGAAACCAAACCTGCCGCTTCTTTTGAAAAGTCTCCAAGGCCGTCCCTTGAAAGTCACCCAGCCTAACTAAGTTCCCTTGGCCCCTTCCTTCACAACCCCATGATGCTGTAGGGTGTTTTTGGGAATTCTCAAAAGTCGCACCAAAAACACCCTACAGCACCTTGTCTCACCCAGCCTAACTAAGTTCCCTCGACCCCTTCCTTCACAACCCCACACCCATCACATGTCTTTTTTTTTTTCTGGTCAAACTCTCCACCGGAGCAAACACTGCTCACACATGCCGAGATCTCACACTGAACACATTGACTGCATTGACTACATTGACCGTGAACAACCCACCTGGACTGCAGAGCAGCAGCTCCTCGCGACAGCTCAGCTGCCAGCCTGGCAGCATTCGGCTCCTTCTGTCCGCCGTCCACCCCTGCCACCCCTCCGAAGCCGCCCACTCCTGCTAGGCCAAGCAGCTTCAGGGTGCCCGCGCTTAAACCATCCAGCAACCCTGCCAATCCCCACCCCTCCCCTCTTCCTGATGTTGCCAACCCTACCCCTCCTGCAGTGTTTCCCCGAGCCTGTAGCTGCTCCTCCAGCCGAGCCACTTGCCAAGCCATCTGCCGAACCTCTGACCTAGCCTTGGCGAGAGCTCGGAGGCTTGTCGAGTCCTTGTCCCGGGCAGCCGCAAGCTGCCCGAACAGCGCCGACATCTTTTCCTCCGCCCGACCAAGCAGCGCTTGGGCCACGCCCTCTTTCTTCTGCAATTCCTTCACCTGCCCCTGCAGCAAAAACACCCTCTGATTGGCTGATTCCGCTGCCCCACGGGCAGCCGAAAGCTCTTCCTCCAACCTCCTAACCGTCTCCTCCTCCCCTGCAACCTCGTCCAACGAATCAGAACCTGCCACCTGTCCCGCGCTGCCATCACTGCTGGCACCGGATCGCAGAAGGTTGAGCTGGTGAAGGAGCGAGGTGGAGCGCTGGGTGGCTGACGTGGCTTCCTGTGTCGCGCTGGCGAGCTCTGATTGGAGGAACGCCACCTGGGTTCGGAGAACGGCAAGAGAGCCCTCCACCTCCTCCGCTACAGTGGACTGTGTTAGGGGAGGGGTTGGGGGGAAAGAGGGTAAAGGAGGGGAGACGGGGTTGCATGGAGGAGTGGTGGGGAGAAAGGGGGAAGAAAATGAGGAGAGGAAGCAAATCCACTCATTGCAATTGCCCCACCATACATGCAATCAACCAGCGAACCTGATTCTGATTTTTAGGTGCCACAGAATTTAGCAAGCACGAACCTGAGCTGACAGGCTCTCCACTTTGCTCGATAGCACCCGAACCTCCTCCCGAGCCTCGGCCTCTTTCCGAGCCACCTCGTCCACCTGCCTCCGAAGCTCCTCCTGCCCGCCCATGGCCGCCGCCACAGCCGCTTCCGCCGCCCGCTCTCTCTCCCTCCCCTCCGCCACCTGTCGCTCCAGAAACGCCAAACGCTCCCGCTGGGCCGTGCGGGCGGCAGCCGCCTCAGTCAGCTTGTCAGCTAGCGCAACGACAAGCCCAGCGAGGCTCGTCTCGTTCTCCAGCGCGTCGGCCACCGCCGCCCGGGCCTGAAGCAGAAGCTTCCTCGAACCTTCCTCCCCGCTCCCTCCCGCCGACTCGAGCTTCGCAAGAAGCTTCTCAGCAGATTCCCTCCTCTCCCTAGCGTCCCTCTGCATCCTCTTGGTAGCTCCCAACTCCGCCATCACCGCTTCAGACCGCGCTACTGCACCTTTCCACACCTCCCTCTCCCTCCTCTCCCTCCCCTTCACCTCCTCCAGCTCCCGCGCGACACCTGTCAGCGCCTGATTGGCCCGTTTGGCCGCCTCAACCGCCGCCTGCTCCCTCTCCCTCAGAACATCTACAAGCCGGGCAAAGAAATCGCACCGCCCGTGCGCGATTCTGGAAGCTTCCTGGGCAGCAGAAAGCTCTTTTTCAAGCTGCTCCACCTGTAGAGAAAGCTCCTGCACTCGAACCTGTGCTGCTCTCTCCCTTGCTGCTACCACCTCCAAAGCCTCATTCGCCCTCTCAGCCTCTCTCCTCGCATCCCTCTCTCTGCCTTCTAGTTCGCGAACCACACCTGACAGGAACCCTACTCGCTCTTTTGCCTCTGCTGCTGCTTCTTTTGCTGCTGCCTCCCCCTCTGTGACCCTCGCCAGGTCTTTTTCCAGAGTGAGCAGAAGCTGCCGAGCCGACGCCGCTCGCTGCTCTGCCTGCTGCTGCGCCGCTTGGAGCTCCTGCTCCCGCTCACGCCTCTCCCGGACCTCTGCTTCCAGAGCTGCCACCCGGTCAGCTTCGGTGGCTGCCGAACCTAGAGCTGCGGCTTGGGCTGCGGCCAAAGAGGAAGGTGCAGAGGAACCTTCTCTCGCTTGCAGGGATTGTAACTGGCCGGCGAGTTGACTTGCCAACTGGGTGGCAGCAACTGCTTCCTTCTGCGCTGCGGCATGTTTGTCCTGTAGTGCGTTGAGCTGGCGCAGGAAGAAGGAGATCCGATCCTCCGCCGCCCGGGCGGCCTGGTCTGCGGCTTGCTGCTTCTCTTCGAGACGAGAGATGTGAGCCTTGAGCAGAGCAATGCGGTCAGACGAGGTGAGCTGGCGGCATGGCGTAGTGGGAACATGAGAGACACACAGCAGCACCGAGGAAGAGGAGGGCAAGGGGATGCGTGAGTAGGAAGAGTGGCTTCCCGGGGCCTAGAAAACGAAGAGAAGCTGCGAAAAGAAGGAAGATGTGGGAAGAAGGACGGGTGCAGAGAGCTGCTTGAGAAGCAGATGAGCAGCATGATAGGACAGGGAAGGGAGAGGGCAGGAGAGGGCAGGGGAGGGCAGGGGAGGGCAGGAGAGGGTAGGGGAGGGCAGGGGAGGGTAGGGGAGGGCAGGGGAGGGTAGGGGAGGGCAGGGGAGGGTAGGGGAGGGCAGGGGAGGGTAGGGGAGGGCAGGGGAGGGTAGGGGAGGGTAGGGGAGGGCAGGGGAGGGTAGGGGAGGGTAGGGCAGGGCAGAGCAGAGCAGAGCAGGGCAGAGCAGGGCAGGGCAGAGCAGGGCAGAGAAGGGAAAGGGGGCAGAGGACTCACCTCGACATCATCCATCTGCTTCTCTGCTGCCCGTGCAGCCCTGCGAATGGCCGCCTGCAGAAAGAAAGAGAGGTGCGGCAAGGGAAAGCATGGTACACTTGTGTGTGAGTGATTGTATGTGGATGGATGTATGTGTGTGAGTGACTGTATGTGGATGGATGTATGTGTGTGAGTGACTGTATGTGAATGGATGTATGTGTGTGAGTTATGTGCATGGATGTATGTGTGTGAGTGACTGTATGTGAATGGATGTATGTGTGTGAGTGATTGTATGTGGATGGATGTTTGTGCGCATGCATGGTGGAGAAAAGGTTGAGAAGGGACACGGCAGAACGGGTGGCCGGGACAAAACAGCACCAGATCAGGCGCAGTGCGCACGCATGCAAGGATCAAAGCACACGCATGGATGGATGGGTGGATGGATGGAAGGAACAAGGCGAATGCATGCAGGGATCAACACGTACCTTGGAGATGGCGTCAGAGAGTGCCACGTCAGCAGCCACCATGCGCTGGAAGCCCTCTGCCACCAGCTTACGCTCTGCCACCTGGCAGCACGCGATTGGGTGGAAGTGGGAGCGGAGCAGAAATCATGCAAAGAGGGGCTGATGTGGAAGAAGGGGAGCTGCAGCTCAATACTGAGAAGAACATGTGGAGCAACAATAGAGTCACACTGCGCGAAAACGATACGGGGGAAGGGAGGAGGAGGGAAGTGGGGAAGCGCGGTGCAGTGTGGTGCGGCGCGGTGTGGTGTGGTGTGGTGTGGTGTGGTGTGGTGTGGTGCGGTGTGGTGCGGTGTGGAGCCCACCTGCCAGTCATTGGCACTGGACCCAGGCACGCCATTTGCTATCCTCGTTTGAAGCTCCTCCGCTGCAAGGTCTGTGAGACGCCTCATGTTGCTGCCTGCTAGCTGCGCGTGAGCCTGTGAATGCACATGCATGCAAAAGCATGGACATGCATAAGCAAGCACAAAACCACATACGCACATGCGCACCAGCATGCACACACACACACACACACACACACACACACACACACACACACACACACACACACACACACACACACACATATACACAAGCATGCACACACGCGCACCCATATGCAAAAAAATGCACACACGCATACAAGCACGAACGCACATGCACAAAGTTAGGTGACGCTGGAAACAGACAGCTGGAGCCACATCCATGAGCCAATGCCATACCCCTGGCAACCCACCTGAGAAGGCACCTGAGAAGGCACCTGTGACGCCACGCACCTTCTTCCACACGCGCATGGGCGGGTCAGCAGCCGGGCATGCCCGGCACATGTCCGCCAGAGCAGTGCTCACGTCCGCTCCCTTCACAAACGTCGTGTAGCTGGTTGGAATCCCACGTGGCATCAGGAAACACGTGGCACAAGGAGACGAGTGTCATAAGGGGACACGTGGCAAAAGGAGACAGGTGGTGATGAAACGAATGAGACAGGAAATGGAACACGAGGAAGAGAGACGAGGCTTGGAGCCTTGAAAGAAGAAGGAAGGATTCGAAAGACGAGCAGGTGCGGAAAGAGCAATGCGTAAGTGGGAGAGGCACAGAGCAGGAGGGAGGGAGGGAGGAAAAGAGCGATGGGGGAATGGGTCGGGGAGCAGAAGGTGGGGGTGGGGGCGGTGGGGGCGGTGAAAGTGCTAAGGGTGCAGAGAAAGCTGAAAAAGACGAAGAAAGTGAAACGCGGAAGTTGTGCAACAGGTGCTAAGCGTATTTACCCCAGAGCAACAAGGGCACTGGCGGAGTGAGGAGAGCAGCTGACAACGGCGATTCTGTGCCTGGTTGCCACCAGCGCCGCCACCACTCACTCACATTGATAGTTTTGAGGCGCCTCTAAAGCAGACTGCTAAAACGAGGACTCACCCTAGAGCAACAAGGGCACTGGCGGAGTGAGCCGAGCAGCTGACAATCGCCACTCTGTGCCCTGTCGCCACCAGCGCTGCCACCACTCGCACCGCTTCCAACACCTGCGAAACCACGTCCTCACCCCCCTCCCCCTCCTCGTCCTCCTCCAAGCACCCCTCCAAATCCGACTCCCCCGCTTCCCCCTCGGATAACACTCCCCGCCACCCCTCCCCCGGCTCCCCTTCCCCCCGCGCCGCTTCCGCCCGCCCGCCTGCGGCGGCTTCCCCGACGGGCAGTTTGAGCGCCACGCCGCCCTCTCTTGCCAGCTGGCGGGTCACGGCGGACCAATCAACGGCCAGCGCTGACTCGTGCTCCGACGGCTGTGATTGGCGGGGAGGTGGGAAGGTGGGGAGAGAGGGGGAGGGGAGGACGATCAGAGCGCGGGGTCGAGTGAGGGAGAGACAGAGAGAGAAAGAGTGAGGAAGGACGGTGTCGGACAGAGTGTGCGGTGGAAGGTGGGGAGTGAGAGAGCGAGCGAGAAATGCGGGCGACGAGTGGGTCCTCTACTCAAACAGAAACATGGTCACATCACCAGAAACACTAACCAGTAACGAGACGACAGCTGTCACGCCTGCCCTGGACGTCACCACGTCCACGTCAGCAGCCGACACGAGCGGCGAGCCTATGAGCACGTTCTCTGCCACCTGGCACCACGCGATTGGCCACTCCGCCTCCATGTGAAGGCTCTCCTGATGGCTCTGCGCCAGCGACTCCCCCTCCCCCAATCCCTCCCCTTCCCCCTCCTCCTCCGCCTCATTGGCGGTAACCGCGCGGAGCGTCCGCGGGTACGTCCCCGCGCGCCTCTCGTCCCGCGGGGTACCCGCGTGTCCGTTCCCGCTTCCCCCTGCAGCGCGCGAGAACGGCGGAACGATTGGGGGAAGCGCGCGGATGGCGGAAATCAGCTGGAATTGCGAGACCATGGCGCTGCTGTCGCCTTCCGCAAACACCACCTCGTGCACATAACCCACTCCCTCCGCCCCTTGCCACCGATCCCCACCCCTGTTGACGCCTAGAAACCCGTTATCAGCTCCTGAAGCACCACCAATGCCGGTGATTTTCGGAATGTTCGACCCGTTCAGGTTCTTCCTGTTAATAGCATTGTCCGCCGAGCGAAAACGGCTATCGGGCTGGTCTTTATTGCTGACATCGGAGCCGCTGAAATCCGACGGTCCACCGGCCGTCGCTTGGATCACCAACGGCCGCGATTTCTTCCCGTCGTTTAGGCGGGAACAGCCGGTTCGCCGGAGAAATCTTGGCGAATGTCGTGAAAAGCGTGGGGATAAATAGCCGGGATATAACTGCTGGCTATTACGTGGTGACCTAATATATATACCAGGCCGGTGAAATGCGGCTATTGTGACCACGCCGCGGGGATTGCGAAGACGGTTCGTTACTTTCAACGCTGTTGCACGACCAGTTGGGGAAAGCGGCTGGACGAACGGTTTCGCGGCAATGCGAACGGTAATGGGTGACCTGTAGATGTCCTCCGGTCGCCACGTGGCAAAAGTTGCGGTCCGTAAAGTTGCCATTGGGATACAGAGTGGCACGTTGCTCCGAGTTAAAACATCCGCGATAGACGACTGAGCGGAGGAGGTCGCAGGCACGGCGATTGATGCTGCTTGTTAGTCTTGTTCGCCTGAGAGCCTGGGCACTACTAGAAACAACGACACTCAAGTAGAGAGCTGAGGTGGACGGAAGGAGCTTCAAGTCCTCGATTCAAACTGAGGGAGATGCCCGATCCAGAGCAGGGTTGCCCGTTCATAGCGACCTCGCCTTTCCATTTAACTCAACCATCCGTATATTGTTTTGAGTTATCATGTGGATTGAGTCGCTACTTTCCCATAAAACGAGATCTTTTATATTGAGACAAATGCTGCACAGCAGAAGGCACACATTAGCTAGGAGGATGTAGCTAGGCACGAACGAGGCACATAGCATAGCCGAGCCTTGACCGAGGCAGGATATTGGGCTGGAGCAGCATCCCACCATTGCTTGACACGTCATCGAGCGGTGCTGCGTTGTGCACGGAAAACCAATTGCCACTCTGGAACTTGCCCGATGAACGTGTTGGAGATATACACTCGGCGGCACCCGCTGATGCTTGCCAGCCAAACCTAAAATGACGGGGACATTTTTATACAGTGTGTATCTTACAGTAGTTAAATCGTTCGTTTTTATCGGCGCTCTCGCACATCTGGAGTACTGTAAGGAAAATTCCTTTTCCTTACTTCGCATCCCTGCTCAACGCGTACATCACTGCAGCACCACAGCCAGCACCGTTACCACTCGCAACCCTCCCATCGACAATCCGCCCGCCACCTTCGCTCATCGCACCCCGACCTCACGGCTCGGCAGATAACCCGCGCTCCGGGCCTCCGCTTCGACACTTTTTCCCAACCTCAGTCCCAGACCCGTCGCGCGACAACCACAGTCCATTACCGTTACCACTATAGTTTCACTATACATTCTTCGCTCATGCCTTCGCTCATTGTACTCTTACTTCGACAGTGCAATTCTCGTTCGTTCACTCAATTGCACTCATAACACTTGGTATTCAGAGCCTACGATCTCCTCTCGTCCCGCACCCACACCTTCGCTTCCCCACTATCTCATTTTTTTTGGGGGGGTAGACGTCTCTCTGCGACACAGCACCGCCGCTCGTAGTGCCCTCTCGCAATCACGCACGGCCACGACCGAGGCCCTCGCTGAGCTCGTCCGACACCAACAACATGGCCGAATTCACGCTCGCCACATTGACGCAGGAGCAGCTCGACCGTCTGGTGCGCCAACTTGAAGATTCGGCGCTCGAAATTGCGACGCTCACGGCGGAACGTGACTCCGCGCGACAGCAATCAACGATGAACACTCCAGCGCCACCACACGCACCGATAAATGCATCTACACAATCAGACGAGCCGATCGTCATCTCGTCCGGCACACCAACACAAATCAACAGCGTGGGACAGCGCTCAAGTGCAGCCAGCGATGGCGCCGCCCAGCCGATGCCTGGCATGGGAGGAAACAGGGTCGCACCAAGCCCGCGGGAGCCTCGCGAAGCCCGTCGGCATGTGGAGTTCGCGGCGACAAGTGGCGAACAGACCATTATGGCACCAATGCCACTCAAGCCGCAAAGCCCGCCCTGCTTTGACCCGAGCCAGCGTGGAGGTCCGACGATTCAATCGTGGGTCTTCACGATGAACGTCCTCTTCGACGCGAATTACGTCGAGTCGGACGCAGCGAAGATTCGGTATGCCGTTTCGCTGCTAAGGGGCCCCGCCATGGACTGGTGGCGAGTCATCGTGACGTCGCCACGCGCCTACGAGCCACCGTCGCAAGAGGAAGGGCCCACGGGCCCAACTATCACCTGGAGTTCATTATGTGAGACCGCCAAATACAGCACGTGGGATGCATGGTGCGCAGAGCTTCGGACGCGTTTTGAGCCAATCGCGGCTTCTATTTCGGCGCGTCAGAGATTGCGCACTTGGCGGCAGCTTGGATCGGTTCAAGACTATACGAGTGGTTTTCTCGCATTATGCGAGCAAGTCGTCTACATGCACGAAGTGGAGCAGGTGGACCGTTACATCGAAGGGCTAAAGCCGGACATCTCGTACGAAATCATGCTACGCGGGCTCTCGAACTTCAACAAGATTCTCGCGCTCGCCGAGAAAATCAACATTTTACGCCGTCCGAGACCGGGGTCCTACTATGGACATCGTCCTCGGGGACCGATCGAGCACGCCACTGTACACGCTGTTGCGATGAATGCAGCTGCCGCGCCGTTTAAGGGGTGCTACTTTGCTTGCAACAGGCCGGGCCATCGCAAGAGCGAATGCCCAGAGGAGCTAAGGCACCGCGGAGCAGAGCAGGGGAGGGAGTCTCCAAAGCAGTGAAACGCCAGCAATCAGTAGGAATCGGGCCAACTACTGACGAGACTGCCTGCTCGCCCAACCCCACCAACCCTCACCGAGTCACAGTACCAATTCATGCTATCGATCGGACTCGTACGAATAAGGAGGGTACAACAACGGATTGCCCAGTACTAATCCACGAGAAAATACAGGGAGCAGCAGTGAAGATTTTTATCGACGGAGGAGCAAGCCACAGTTTAGTTAATACCTCAACCGCACGAAAACTGTGTCAGAATATTATCTTATGTTCTAGCCTGTAGTGGGGTGTTCTATAGCGAGTACAACCCTTCTAGGGTTTGCTATTTGTATCTTCATTCTTGCTAGTTCAACCCCCTTTCTTTCTTCTAATTTTGTCATGCTATCAGAGCAGGTCGATCCCCTTGGATCGATCCTGTGGGTGGGTTACCACCTCGCTTCCGCTGCTACTTTTCCTTCCCGCCGTGCGCTCTGAGGCGCGCGGCGGTTTTCTGCCCGCCGTGCGCCCCGAGGCGCGCGGCGGTTTTCTGCCCGCCGTGCGCCCCGAGGCGCGCGGCGGTTCTCTGCCCGCTGTGCGCCCCGAGGCGCGCGGCGGGCGTCTGCCCCGTCGTTCGTCGCGTCGCCTTCTGGAGGCGCCGCGACGGGCGACGGGGACCAGTCGCGGCCCCGCTGCCCGACCCGTCGCGGCCGCCCGCCGCCCTACCCTCGCGGCCCACCCGCCGCCCTACCTGCGGCCACCCGTCGCCCTACCTTCGCGGCCCACCCGCCGCCCTAACTGCGGCCCGCGAGCCACCCTACCTGCGGCCACTCGCCGCCCTACCTGCGGCCCACCAGCCGCCCTACCTGCGGCCCTACCGCCGCACTACATGCGGCCCGTCGCCCTACCCGTCGCGGCCCCGGCCCCGTCCCCGCCTTCCCCCCCCCCCCTTTTCCCGTCGCCTGTCGAGGCGACCTGAGGGGGCCGCTTGCGGTGGGGTGTCGGGTATGGGGGTGGCCGGTGTGCCTTCCTCCCTTTGCTCCTCCTCCTCCTTCGTCTCCCACTGCTGCAGCTGTCGCTGAGGGGGGTGGTTGTGTGTGTGACTGGGGTTTAGGGTTTAAGGGGGGTGCGTGGGAGTGGAGCTAGCGGTGTAGCAGCGGGTGCGTGTCGGGGGGGTGGGACTGTTTGGGGAAGCTGCATGGAGGTTGCCGTACTGTTGTCCGCAGCACCTGTAGTCCGGGGCGCTGTCCCGGTAGCCCAGTGAGCTAGACTTCTACGCCAGCCGCCCGTGGGTCCGTTGCTCGTCTGCCGCTACTTTAGCCGCGGGGCCTGTTACTCCTGTAGTCCGGGCGCTTAGTCCGGTAGCCGCTGTGCCTGTCTGCCTCCTGTTGCCCGTATGTCTGCAGCTTCAGCCGTCGCCTCCTATCTCCTCTCCCCTCACTCTCTCCCCTCACTCTCTCTCCTCCTCCTCACTTGCCCGTTGTGACTACCACTAGCTTTGCTAATAATTGTGAACTCTAAACTATTTCTTCTTGAACTTGTGCTCAGATTGTGTGGTGACATTGTGATCCACCCTGAGCTTGTACTGCTTTGCCTGCTCTGCTGATTACACCCCACTTTGGCTATGGGGGTGTGTCAGAATATTATCTTATGTTCTAGCCTGTAGTGGGGTGCTCTATAGCGAGTACAACCCTTCTAGGGTTTGCTATTCGTGTCTTCATTCTTGCTAGTTCAACCCCCTTTCTTTCTTCTAATTTTGTCAAACTGCAGCTGACACTTAGACGTTGCTTACCGGAGATAGACGCACGCTTAGTCGACGGCACGCCACTGGCCATACGGGAAAAGGTAGAGAGACTCAAAGTCTGTTGCGGGGGAAATTTCGGATTTACACACGACATGCTCGCAACGATACTCGATGGGCACGATATTTTACTGGGACGTGATTGGCTGCGACGATATAACCTGCGAATTGACTGGACGATTGGTAGCTGCACTGTGCGAAGAAGTGGTAACTGGGTGGAGCTACCTCGCTAGTAGTCGCCCGAGTCTTCAACGGTAC